GTCGAGGAGCTGGACGCCAAGAGCCGGGACCTGCTCGTCCAGCAGGCCGCTCAGTGCCTTAGCAAGCTGGTCCAGATCGCGCCCCGGGCCCGGAGGAACTTCATCCTCGACCAGGTACCGCCGCCGCCGCCCGGGGGCGCGGGGACAGCGCCGCACGTCGCTAAAAACCCCTTGTTTTGGCCCATTTTGCCCCCAGTGCAACGTGTACAACTCCGGGCAGCGGCGGAAGCTCCTGGCCTTCAAGGGCTTCACCCGCAAGGTCGTCGTCATCGTCCCCACCGAGGACGACTGGAAGAAGAGGCTGGAGCTGCGCAAGGAGGCCGAAGGGGAGGACGTGCCCGAGTCGGTGATGCTGGAGATGCGAGGTGGGCTCGGAGAGCCGCCTCCCCCCGTGCCTTTCCCATAGGGATTTGGGCCCGGGAACATCGGGAAGCGCCGGGGGGCACCCAGGAATCCGTTTTGGTTTCCCCTTTCCCCCGTAGCCAATTATTCCCTGCCGGAGAAGAGCGACTACCTGGACGAGGTGGTTTACGGGGAGCTGCCCAAGGAGGAGGCCCAGCCTCTGGTCACCAAGTACAGGGAGGAGGCCAGGAAGCTGCTCCCGCCGTCGGAGAAGCGGGCGAACCGCCGCAACAACCGCAACAAGCGGAACCGCCAGAACCGCAACCGCGGCCAGGGCTACGGTGAGGCGCCCGCCGCGCCGCTTTGGGCTCAATCCGGCCRCTTTTGGGGGCAGCTTGTGACCAAACGGGCGCAAATTGGCCCTCGGGGTCCTCCCGGCCGCATTAGGGGGATCCGGGGTGCTTCCTGGCGCCCCGCGGCCCCCGGGATCCCCATTCCCAGCGCCCCACAGCCTCTGGAATCCCCATTCCCACCGTCCCGTGGCCTCCGGGATCCCCGTTCCAGGTGCTCCGTGGCCTCTGGGATCCCACGGCCCCTGGGATCCCCATTCCCAGCACCCCCCAGCCCCCGGGATCCCCATTACCAGTATCCCGTGGCCTCCAGGATCCCGGTTCCCAGTGTCCCCTGGCCTCTGGGATCCTGCSGCCCCCGGGCTCCCCGTTCCCGGCACCCCGCGGCCTCCGGGCTCCGCAGGGCTCCGAGGGCTGCCGCCGCTCATCCCGCTTTCCGTTGCAGTGGGCGGGCAGCGCCGCGGCTACGACAACCGGCTCTACGGGCAGCAGCAGTACTGGGGACAGCCTGGAAACCGCGGGGTGAGCGCACGGCCCGCCCCTCCTACCCTTTTTCATGCTGTTTTACCTGTTTTTAATGCTTTTTTACTCTTCTTTTTTAACGCCTTTTTACCCTTCCGTTTTAATGCTTTTTTTAACTTTTTTTAATGCCTTTTTACCTTTTTTAATGGTTTCTTACTCTTTTTAATGCCTTTTTACCCCTTTTTAATGCCTTTTTACCCCTTTTTAATGCCCTTTTACCCTTTTTTAATGCCCTTTTACCCTTTTTTAATGCCCTTTTACCCTTTTTTAATGCTTTTTTACCCACGGATCCCTCAGCCTCCCGCCACGCAGAAGGGCAGGTCGCAAGGGGGAATTGGGGGTGTGAACCCCCCCGGACCCGGCAGTCCGTGGGGAGCCCCCCCAGATCCCACATTCCATGGGGAGCCCCCCCGGACCCGGCGTTCCATGGGGAGAACCCCCCGGATGCCACATTCCGTGGGGACCCCCCGCCCGGATCCAGCATTCCGTGGGGAGCCCCCCCGGCTCCGCCGTTCCGCGGGGACCCCCCCGGCTCCGTGGGGACCCCCCGGCCTCGAGCGCTCTCCTCCCCCCAGGGTTACCGCAACTTCTACGACCGCTACAGGGGCGACTACGACCGGTTCTACGGCCGCGACTACGAGTACAACCGGTACCGCGACTACTACCGCCAGTACAACCGCGAGGTAACAGCCGCCGGCCCCTGCTCGCGCTCTTCCCGGAATGCCGGGACGGAATTCCCGCTTTTCCCTCCCARTTGATACCTCCCTGTTTTTCCCCCCTTCCCAGTGGCAGAACTACTACCAGGACAGAGACCGGTACTACCGGAACTACTACGGCTACCAGGGCTACCGGTGAACTCCCTACAGCCGCGCCGGGAAAGCGGCCGCTTCCCGAAACACAACCCATGGAAAACAGGGCTC